CTTTATTCTGATATTCATATGATAGTGTGCACAACTTGGCAGCCAGCTATAAAAGTATTTGTGCTTCGTGTAAATTAGCTTACACAAAAGATTCTCTTTAGAATGACAATTTGTAATAATCGCACATGTTTTAGTCGTTATGCTACATTTATCATGAGGTCAATAATATAATAGTGCATAGTTTAGCTAATGAATCATCTGTATTTATAATGGTTGCATATTTCCAACTGTTGCATCACATCTTGCATGACACCAATATAGTAGCAGACAATTTAGTTAGATATGAAAGTATCTGGGCGTCACATGAATTTTAGTTGATGAAACATATACTTTTTGAAATGAACCACTTTTATGATTGTATATGCTCTTGTCTCTACATTAGATAAATTGTAAGACCAATATAATAGCGCACAGTCTAGTCAATGAGCCACATGTATGTGTAATGATTATAAATTTTTAGTAATAATTACACGTGTTTTAGTCGTTACGCTACCTTTATCGTAAGGCCAATAGTATAATAGTCCATAGTCTAGCTAGTGAACTATATGTATTTGTAATGATTGCATATTTCTAACTATTACATCATATTTACCATGACGCCAATATAGTAGCAAGCAATTTAGTCAGATAGAAGAATTTCTAAGTGTCACGTAAATTAGTCAATGAAGCACACTCTTTAAAAGGAACAACATGTAATACGTGTATGTGTTCTTGTTGCTACACTACATATATCGCGAGACTAATACAATAGTGCACAGTCTAGCCAATGAGTCACATGGATGTGTAATGATTACAAATTTCTAGTTGGTACACCATATTGAACGTGATGTCAATAGGAAATGCACAACCTAATTAGTTATGAAAGTACGTGTGCCTCACGTGACTTAGCTGACAAAGAAGATACTCTTTTAACGGGATCACATGTAATAATTGCATCTTTCTAGTCGTTATACCACATTTATTGCAAGGACAATACAATAGTGCAGAGTCTAGCGAATGAGTCACCTGTATTTGTAACTAGTTTCTGAGTCCGTACTTTGCATGTGTATCTTATATTGAAATATGGACACTTACATAAAACAAAATTTAAAAATGTACTTTTGTCTTCTTTTTCATAATTGGGTGTAGCATTTGATTTAGTGTAAATATCGAATGAATGCATATTTCTAGTCGTTACATTATAATTATCGTGAAGGTATAGTCTGACTCGTTATAAGAGTACCTGATCTTCACATGAAGTAGTCGATGAATTAAATATTAATTGATCTGAACCACCAGAAATGATGGCATATTTCTAGTCGCCATACCACATTTCTTGTTTGGCTAATACCTTAATGCATAGTTTAACCAATGAACCGTCTACATTTATAACAGTTGCAGATTCCTACTTGCTATTTTTTCTTTATCCTAATATTCATATGAAAGTATGCATAGCCTGACAACCAGCTATGAAAGTACATGTGCCTTACGTGAATTAGCTTACGTAAAGATTCTTTTTAGAATGAACCGTTTGTAATAATTGCACGTGTTTTAGTCGTTATGCTATATCTATCGTGAGGCCACTAGTATTATAGTGCATAGTCTAGCTAATGATCAGTCTGTATTTATCATGATTGCATATTTTTAACTGTTGAATCACATTTATCATGATTGCATATTTTTAACTGTTGAACCACATTTATCATGATGCCAATATAGTAGCAAACAATTTAGTCAGATATGAAAGTAACTGGGCGTCACGTAAGCTAGTTGCTGAAGTAAATACTTATTGAAATGAACCACATATAATGATTGCATGGCTTCATGTCACTACATTACATATATCGTGAGACCAATATAGTAGCACATAGTCCAGCCAATGAGCCACATGTATATGTAATGATTTACAAATTTCTAATCGCTACACCATGTTTATCGTGATACTAATAAGAAGCGCATAACCTAATTAGTTATGAAAATATGTGTTCCTCATGTGAATTGATTGACAAAGAATATACTCTTTGGACTGAACCACAACTCACTATATCACATTTATTGTGAGGGCAACACTGTAATGCAGATTCTAGCTAATGAGTCATATGTATTTGTTATTAATTTTTGACATGTATATTCTATATTAGTTAATATGAACTTTTTAAAATATAAATATTAATAAAATATGTGCATTTTTTTTTCTTTAAAAAAAAAGATATAAGCTCGAGATAAATAAGAGCTTAATATATCTATTTTATATTCATGTTTACACACAATTAACAAGCACATAAATACAATAAGCGATAAAAGTAAAAGTAAAAAAAATGAGAGTATAGTTTAAAAAAAAAAAAGCATAATGAGCGGCAACAAAAATTATACTAACTTCCAAAAAACATGTTTTCACTATAAGATATACTCATGTTCATATCAAGTAAATAAAATTACATATGAAGCAATAATACTACATCAAAATATAACAAAAATATGAGGAATATAAAAAAAAAAGCCACCAAACAAACTAATATGGTGTCAAATGGAATGAGAAAATCAGTTGTGCGCATTAAAAATCAATTGGAAAAAAAATCGTGCTATCAATCAAAGGAAGAAATTTGACAATTTTTTTAAGTCTTTCTTGTAAATTGTAATCCCAAAATTTTTGCTACAGCATTTGCAAATAGTACTTAATATGGATTTATACAAATATATTGTTGCAATGCAATTCAAAAATATCAAATACATTAAGTTTTATTTTAATAAAAGTAGATAAAAGATTTAGCTACAATATTACTCCATAAAGTACTTCATCAATTTTAGTCTTTTGTTTTTGTAAGTTTGTCCGGAAGAATTCCAATAAGACTAGATGAAAGGACTTGACTATAATATTATTTATTTATTACTTCATAAAGTATTACTTTTTTATATGTTTATCGTGAAGATTTATATCTCTAAGAAATAATATTTATCAGTAAGATATATATTTATACCAAAATATTACAGGTTCAATCACGTAAAAAAAACTTAAGATTTGCAGAATTTTTTTAATCTGTATTTTTATTTATTATTGTTTAAAAAATAAGTTAATTTTAGCGGTAAAAAATCCCACCAATTTTTGATGAGTATGTAATTCATTTTTTTTTAACTTAATGATTATTTTTTTGCTTACTCGTGCCTTTATGTAATTTAAATACTACATTATCAAATTAGATATTTAATAAGGAATTAATTAAATGAAGTCAAAAATTCATCACACATTTATGTAATTAAAATGATATAGTATTTAATATTTAAACAATTATATATTTTATAACATTTTAATTTACAGAGGAACAAAAACGTAGTCCAAGTTTAAAGTTAAGAGCTTTCCATTTATTATAGGGGAAATACATAATTACTCCATTCAACTATAACACTTTTTTAAAAAAGACACTCAAACTTTATAAGGGTCCTAGTACCCCACTAAATAATTTAAAAGTGATATAAATATCTCATTTTTCAGTTAATCCCACTTATAAAGAAGAAGGTGTAAGCACGCACTAATTATAGTTTGCCACCTGTCAATTTTATATAATTTCCTAACCTTTGTTTTTATTTGTCTTTTTTTTTTAGTTTTAATTCTTTATTTTTTCTTTCTTCGCTTAACCCATCCGTTGGTCTTCTTCGTTGTGGAGTGGCCGCCATTGCTACAACACCATTTACAACACTAAATCAAAATTAAAATTGGAAAATCAAATCCTCTTTCAAAATTTATTGTTTTCAAATTAAAATTTCTATCAAAGTCTTCTTTTTGTGTGTTTTGCCTTTGATTTTTGCTCTAAATCAACTTGGGTTGTATTTGAAAAAAACATTGAAATAACGCCGACGATTCTATCTTCGAAGTCGCCATCATCTTCCCGGAGATTCTCACCCCAGCCGGTCAAGGAGGAGGAGGAGAAATCTGAGGATGAAACAACAAATTTGTTGTTGCTTCCGTTGTCAATGAGATTTTTTTGTCAGTGATTTTTCTTTTATGTACTGAAATTGTGTTATTTAGTTACAATTAAATCTCTCCGTCGAAATCCAATCTAAATGAAAAACGAAAAGAGAGCAAAAAAAAGAAAAAAAAAAAACTTCAAGCTCTCCTTCAATGGTGAAGCTCAAGAAGGAGAACAAAAAAAAATTAACAGTAAAATAAAGATTATTTATATAGTTAATAAAAAAAATTGCAAAAGAAAAGTTTAATCTTACTTTTTTTGATTTTCACGCTCTACAGGCGAGTGATATACACTCTCTCTATAAAATATAAAAAAATGGTTCAATAATTTCACATTAATTTAGTTAAGTGGTGTATTAGGACTCCCGCAAAGTTTGAGTGTCTTTTTCAAAAATGCATCTTACTTTAATGGGGTAATTATGTATTTCCTCTTTATTATATAATGTGATGATGATTGCAGTTTTTTTTTATTGCTACACCATATTTACCGTAATGCCAAAACGATAGTGTAAAACCTCATAAATTAGATGACGAAGAAGATACCTATATTTATACATTTTTTTACATGAGATTATTTAGATTCTAAGAAGCAACTTTTCATAACAAGTTTAGTAAATAAAATTACTAGAAATGAGAAAAAAATGATTATGTTATAGCCTAGAATCAAGATATATGACATTAATAAGGTAAGGTTTTCTTGAACTTAATAATATAATGAATTTCTTATATTATCAGTATAAGTGCACTCATTACTACAACTTAACATTTGAAATAGACTATTTATTTACCACAAAATCCAAGCGCTAATTTTCAAATAAAATGAAAAATCATTCCAAAAAAAAGTAAACAATTATTATGACCAAGTAGGTCCTTAATAAGTAATTATTACAAGCATTTATTCTCCTTGTTCTCTTGTTTAATCCTTTTTAACATTCAAAATTCATTTCTACGACTAATTCAAATTCACATCAGATAGGATCCTTACAAGTGCCTCGTACTGATCATGCTAACCAAAGGAAAAAAACATATTAGCAAGGGAAGAAACCAAAGAAAAAAGAAGAAAAAAAGACTCAATTTTTTCCTTTTTCAATGGAAGTCAAGGATAGTGAAGCGACGAGTCACGTAAGCAACAACAACAAAACATACCTAGTATAATTCCCCAAGTGGAGTAGACGAGTCCGTAAGCATATTATTATTATAGGAGACAAATGTATATAACTCTAAGAAGTTGCAGACACGCAATAAATACCAAAAGTGAAAGGGGAAAGAATTGCTGCTCCACAGGTTTCAGATATACACACAATCCATGGCATAGAGACCAGTTCCTCTCCACCACACATATTTTGCACAAAATGTTACCAAACAGGTTTCTCTCCAGGCAGATATGATGGAGAATTTCCCTCTACTTGGTTTTTCTTCTTGTGGAAAATGCCACTGATACTAGGCATCAATACTTTCTTCTTTGACACTGATGTCTTTGCTTTCTGCAACTTGTGCGTTTCCATTATGTTCTCTTGTGTGTTTTGCTTCTTGGTTTCAATGGGTGAGTGCATCTTTAAATGTGATTCCATGAATTTCTCAGATGGTTTCTCCTTCTGAACTGTGTAACTTTGAGGAGATGATCTGTAGTTCATATGTGTTTCAGCAAGAATACGAGAAGCTGCCTCAGCTGCCTTCTTTTGCTCACGTTCCCGCCACCTTCTAAGCTCCCCTTCTACGGCCTTCTTGGCAGCTTCTGCCATCTCTGCCTTCTTCAAGGCTTCCTGAGTTGCGGTTTTTATATAATCAATCTCCTTTTGAGTAGCCTCCAACTTCTTGAGGGCCTCATACTCACTTGCTTTCACCGCCTCTACCTGAGCCATTGCGGCTCCCACTCTTATTTCTGCTAAATTATCAAGTTCTTCAACTTTACGGCTCAATGAGTCAAACTCATCTCTTGATAAAGTAATACGAGCACCAGCCTCAGAAGTTGAGGATCGTGCAGCTGTGGTTTTTTCAGATAAAATCTTAATTTGATCACGAGCCTCAGCCTCAGCTGATTTTGCTTCTTCAGCTTCTTCCATAGCCACTTTAAGCTTCTTTTCTGCTTCTTCAAGCGCCATTCTAGTGGCTTCAGCTTCTTTCTTTAAGTCTTCTGCTTGCATTTTCATCTCTTCAGCTTCAAGCTTTGCGTTTTCAGTCTCCAAGGTCAGCTGGTGGAGAGTGGAGATCATTTCTTCAGAAGCACCCCTTGCTTTGGCTTCTTCTGCAACTGCTACTTCAAGCTCAGATTTGGCTTTCCGGAGCTTGACATGCAGACCCCCAGCAAGTGATTCTGTCTCTGCCTCCTTCTCCTTCAGATCAGAATGTTCTTTCTTGACATTCTCCAGGTCCAGTTTAAGGGTCTCCACCAAGGTTTGGAGAGTACTCTCTTCTTCTGCGACCTTAAGTAGTGAGTCCTTAGCATCATCCAGCTCTGCAGTGACAACTTTCACCGTATCAAGGTCAGAAGACTTCGCACTGTCCATTTCTTTCCTCAAAGCTTCAATTTCAGACATTGTTTCAGCTAACTGTGCTTCAAGACTCTTGGCTAAATCTGCATCAGTCTCTTTCTTCAAAGCAAGTAACTTCTCTGCTGACTCTTCAAGTTTAGCCTTGTAGGACTGCTTCTGGACATTCTTTTCAGCATAAATCTTTGCCTCCTCTTCCTGCTCCTGCACACAAGCAAGTTTTAGTTGATCAACCGACTCGTGGACAGCTGCTATTTCCTTGGAGAGCTCACTAGCTCTTTCCATATTTGCTTTGGCAGTACGCTCAGCTTCTGCTGCCTGCTCAATAGCGCCAGTTTTTTCTTCCATAAATGTATTGCAATCCTGGCGGATTTTCCTCAGCTCTTGTTTTGCTTTATCAAGATCAGCTATTTCAGCCATATACTTTTCTCTTGCAGTTTCCAGATCCACTTTCCAAGAACCATCCTTCCCCATAACAGAGCCATCATTTGGTGCTTCAAGTTGGTTCACCTGACTCTTTGCTGCTTCTGTCGCCTTGACAGCCAAATCCTTTGACTCGCAAACAATTTTAAGCTTTTTGGTGAGGTCATCAACGGTCCGTTTTGCCCTTTCGAGCTCAGTAAGTGCTTGGGCTCTAGTGGTTTCTGCATTTTTCAACTGTTCCTTCAACTTGTTCAGCTCTTTCTGGGCTAAGTGAAGCTGTGTTTCCTTTGCCAGTACCCTCTGAAATCAAGACAAGATAAGGGTACTTAGGTGAGGCTATTTTATTGCTGTCTCAGAACACTAACCAATCCTTAGGTGTAAATACTTTTGCATTCATGCACTCCTGAGAGCACCTGATTACATGTTACATTCAGTACTCAAAAGACTCAAGTATGAGCGTATTTACCATTTAGTGAAAAAGTTCTGAAACTATAAAATGAAGCACCAAATAATTATGAACACTTCGAAGTCATTAAACACCATGTGAAAACATTTGAATAATCAAAGAAAGAAGATGCTTCAAAGACACATACACCAGAAAAAAGTTCGATGAATAGATGGAGATGCATGCACGCACAAATTTCTATGACAACATGACTTACTTGATGTAAAAGACAAATTACAAGTATTTGTTAGACAAAAGGAAACTTTGCTTAGATGTCCATTCTCCAACTTTTCTTTGTTTCGATCTTGGAAATAGGAGAGGGAGAAGAAAGCTCAATAAGGTATTAATTCAATCTTAATCATAAAACGAATGTTTAACACAAACAATGCAGATAAAATGTCATAATAAAAACACTGCTGATCTCTTGAGCTGCTGGATGAGGAGGGGGGGGGGAGCAAGACCCAAAAAAGATGGTGGTCTATAGTACCTACTTGTGTCTGGTGGGCTATTTGGAGAGAAAGAAACCTTAGGTGTCATGAGAATATTACTAACTCTATTCAGAAAGTTAAAGAAAATTGCATTAACATGTTGTTTTTTTGGTGTAAAGAAGATGGTATAGAAGAAGTAGAACAGTTGGTAGATTTCCTAGGATCTATGTAATTATGGTGTCAGCTTGTAACTTTTTGGAGGTAGCCAGCATACCCTTAATGCTGAAGAATACAACTTTAACTTTTATCAAAAAAAAATAAAAAATGTCATAATAAAAACACCAAGCTTCTCCATTCAGGATAACGATATACATTTTGAACCACAGTATTATTTACCTCTGCGGACTGAGGTCTTGGCTTCCTGATTGCAGGTTTTTCCCCTGAGAATGCACCTTCCCCAAACAAGTTAACAGCATCTTTGACAGACTGAAATGGTGCACTTGTATCTATCTCCCCAACTTGTACTTTTGGAGATCCAGTAGGTTTCTTACGGTCTTTTGAAACCATATTTTAATCTTTTAAACAGAATCGCCTACCAACAAAAAGCAAAGAAAAGTTTACTGAAAGTGACCAAAAACACAGACGGAATTTCAACATTGTGGATAAGAGTAGCACAGACGCTTGAGATACCAGTTTACAAGTGGTCATCATGCAATACAAGCTAGGTATATTTATAACATCAGCGTCCTCCTTTTACTTGAAATTCTTTAACTTTTTTTTTGATAAGGACTTGAAAATCTTAATGATGGATTGCGAATAGCTGCCTAAGCATTTATTATAAGAAACAGATGTCTTTCTAAGTGCACAGAAGCAAATATCTCTACAATCATTATTGACAATGTATGCTATGCCAAAAATGTAGACATTTTCACTCTCTAAGGTCACAATCAACATATACAGAAAGACGCTTCCTTTTGTCGCACTGAGGGGAGTAGGTTGTTTTCGACTTCCTTCTTTCATTTAAATAATGGTCATGTTATGTCATACTCAGAGAGCTGTATGCACACATGACTTGTCAGAAAGAAAAGAAAGTGGGGAGGGGGTGATATGTCTATGAAATGCACTTCATTCCTCAAAATTAATCACTCTAATCTCCAATTCTAGCCACTGCAAGCGCAAGCTATCCACCGACTAAAACCTTCAAATAATTCCTATATGACAAAAAGATAATTGGCTTGAAATGTCAGATGAGAATAGCCAAACACTCATGTTAAACATTATTGACTCAAAGATATTCAAAGAGTTATGTTACTGTACTTTCAAATTAAAAGGAACAACTATATTGAGCTCTGCTTTGCTGTATCTGAGGGTGCGGAAGATTAAGATGCCAATATCCCATTGCAGCAGTTGTCTCTACCACGACATACAAATGCAAGTATCTCATTGAAGCTCTCTTTAGGAATTTTAACTATCAAATTGGCCTAATCAAAATTTTCATTGCTTGCCAACAGACTAAGGTGTTCTTGTGACAGGTCCCTTTTCATATCTTGTTTAAAAAGAGTTGGATTGTAATATACTAGCAAATCGTGACAAGCTTAGATAAGATTAGATGAGAGTTATTGTAAGGTCTAACACACACCATTTCTATTTTGCACTAAACGGCAAGGAAAATCATAATTTGTTATAATCCAACCTTCCCCTGGATATAGTGAAGTTTAGATGTAAAATCAACTAAAAACTAAACATTAAATACAATCCAGAAAATTTTCAAACTAGAACCAAGTTTCTCTAGGTGTATACAGAATGATGGGTTGTGAATAGCTGCCTAGGCATTCATTATTGGAAGTGAAACAAAAAGATCAAAACAGACGTCATTTTGAGTGCAGAGAAACAAACACCTCTACAAACATCCCTGACAATGCATGCTAAGACAAAAATGTAAACATTTTCACTCTCTAAGGTCACAAAAAACATATACAGTAACACCTTTCCACTTTTTTTTAGGTAAACAAAATTTGATATCTGTTAAAAGGGAAGCAATCAAACCATTTCAGTGCATTAAATGATTAAATTGCAGGTGTACATACACATTCTTATACAACTTAACAATTCGAAGGAGTTAAGAAATACACAAAATAAAAATAAAAACAGGACAATTGTTCAATCTGAAACCCATAAGAAATTTAAAAACAACTCAAAAAGACAATCATTACATTTCTCAATTACAATTTACCCAATAGTATAATAGCAACTACCAAGAACCAAATTCTACCCACCAAGTCTAATAAAAACTTCAACTTTTAACCCTTCTTCAACAACAAATACAACAACAACAATAATAGGCAAGCAAAAGGGTGAAAGAGGAAAAAGGGCTTACCTAAATGATGAAAAGCCCTAATCATCCATAAACCCTAGAAATCATCAATCTTTTAACTCCCAAAGGCCAAAAGGGTTGATACACAGCAGCAAATTCTCAGAGATACTCAAAAGTGGTTGACCAAAAATCTTCGAAAAAGTCAATCTTTCAACTAATCAACACAAACTCACAAACCAAACAGCAAAAAAAAACTGCCCCAAATACTCAAAAGACTATCTTTTTTTTACCTAAACCCTCAATAGCAAAGTATAAAAGAAGAGAAAAGGCAATCCCTTTGAAGGGGAAAACACTATTTGGTTAGTGAAACTATGAAAGGAGGAAAAATTGAGATATGGGTAGTTGCAATAAGCAAAAACAAAGTAAAAATTCAAACAGTAAAGACAAGGAATCTTGAATTGAGAGATGGTTTGAAAGTCTTACAAAAAGCTAAAGAAAAAAAAAAGCTGTGTATGTTGAAAGACAAATATAATGTATACTACTACTATGAGCTAATCAGAGAAGAAAGAGAGAAAGAGAAAAGACAAGTCCAAGTCAGCAAAATGGCACCGTCCAAAGCTGACTCTGTCTTTGAGCACGCAAAGGGAAAAACACACAAAGATGGAGGAGGAAAAAGAGGTTTTTTTTATTCGATATCTCGCACTAATATTAAAATTTGATTAAATTTAACTTAATTTCGAAAAGTTTAGCATAGGAGGTGCTTACATTGGGGGTAAAGCACAAAGATGATTCTGTATCTGACTCAAACTTGAGATCTCTAAATAAAGATAAAGGGTATCAATTCATCATAATCCTTGTTGGTGAGGTATGTGTTGCTTCATCACAACAATAGGAGGTGCTTCCTAAGAAAAATGATTTCACACGTAAGAGATTCAAATCTAAAACTTTTGATTAAGAATGAAGAGGTACTTACTCGTTATCACTTCATTACAATAACAGAAGGTATTTTCTAACAAAAATGACTTTACATGTAAAAGACTCAAATTTAAAATCTCTTACTAAGAATAAAAAGGTACTTACCACTCCATAACAATAATAGAAAGTACTACTTCATAATAAAAACAACCCCACATATACAAAAAAACTCAAATTTAAAATCTACGAATAAAATAAAAATATATTTATCAATCTATTACAATTACTAGAGAAAGATTTGGTAATTATCACTCAATACTACTTACCATACATAGGAAAAAGTATTACTCCATTTTCTATGGTTAAAATTAAAAAATTTAGATAACAATTAACAATACACATTATTTAGTTTTCCTAATTTGATGTTCGAGAACATTCCAATTAATTCCGTAGGGATCATGACTTGTGAACCAGGTAGCTAAATTTTACCTTAGACACATAAAAAGACTCACCTATTTTCTTCGATTTAATTTGTTTTTCTTGCTTTTTGAAATTTTTTTAATTTTAATTTTTTTTATATGATATATTTAAAAATATAAGATTAAAAAAATACTTTTTACATCATTTTAGCTTAAGATCATAAAATTTAGAAATTTTATTTACTTTCTTAAATTTTATATCAAGTCTAAATCTAGTAAACAAAAATGAAAAAAATATTATTTTTAGCTCAACTCAAATTTACACTTGAACTTCATAATTTTTAATTTACTTTATTAATTGTTATGTCACATCCTCGAATACTAAGTGATAAAAGTATGGTATAATACATAAACAAGACCCTTAACTTGATTTTAGTGGACAACTATGCCTTCTAACTTTGAGTGTGTACAAATAGACATTTAAACTTGTATACAATTGAACAAGTAGACACACATGTCCTAAATGACATAATACACATAAGATGCCACGTAGGACACAAAAAATCCATGTAGGGTGTCATGTAGGATGAATGTGTCCATTTATTTAATTTTATAAAAATTTAAGTGTCTACTTATGCACATTCAAAGTTAAAAGTAATAATTGCAAGCTGACATCAAGTTAAGGGTCATGTTTTTATTTATTATGCCTAAAGGTATATTAGTATATTACCATACATGTGTCGTATATGCATTTGATGCAATATACACACCATGTGCAAGTAAATTGTTCATATATAGGTCCTACCTAGACTATAAGTTAGGTTTACACCCCACCCCCTTAACTATTAGGAGATTTTTTTCTTCCTTTTTTTGGTTTGATTTGATTTTCCTCTAATTTGTGAGGTCCCAATCAATTTAAAGTTACATTACAAAAGGTGATTAAAAAGAGACACTCTTTATTAGGATATTTTTTTAGATATTAGTGATGTTGAGAATATCCCACTACACATGGGAACTAAACAAGTTTAACTTGAATTATTGAAAAAGATTGCAAGATAATACAAAATGTGTTGATACTTGATAAGATAAGATCCTCTTATTTTACTTATACTTTAATTAGAAAAAAAGGTTGTACAAGTTGTAATTTGCAACATGTAAGCTTGTAAATGAATTGTTTATCTAGTCACTTTCATTTTTCTAATTTGTCAAATTTTAAAAGACAGAAAAAAGTGCTTAATTAATCTCAAAAAAATAATTTGTCCCTACTTGATGAAAATAATTTGAGGTGTCCCTACAAATTATTGACTATCTAATCGTAATTCGTAAATATCAATCTAAATTTTAACGAATTAATAAGTGAATGAATTAAAAATCCATTCAAAACACAAACAAATTAGATAATTTACGATTTTTTTGGATTAATTTTGTCACCTCTACTTCCATCAATCCTGGTCGGATCCAAACCAAAACAGATTTATCATCCCATATAAAAATGCGCCACCTCATTTCGAAAACATGACAGCTCACCGTGTTATTACACACGTGTCATGCTGAGTCATCATCAAACCGCATTTGAAATAGATAATTCCCTCTTCATAAATACATTAATTCCACAAACAAAAAAATAATAATTAATTTTCCCCCAAAACACTGCCATGGCGACGGAGAAAGGCGGCGATCACCGGAAACACGATCTGATATTATCGAACCTCGAACGGGCGATTAAAGAAGAAGAGCAAGTTGAACAAGAACTCGATGTGAACGAATTATCGCGGTTGTGTCAATTACACGGCAAAGGTATTCCGGCGAGTCAAGGGTTGGATCAGAGGAAAGCTACGGTGGAAATTTGCGAATTTGATGATGACGGGTCGGGTCAATTGGCTGAGAAATGTAAAACTATGTATCAACAAGCTGATCACTTTAGGTGTCACAAGTGAATATTAATAATACTCGAACGGTTTTTTAGTAGAGATTTATTTTAACTTTTTGCATATATGCTTGTAATTCCTAGCGTAGCATGCATGTTGATTAATTAATTTAATTTAGGATGATTTTTCAATTGAATGCGTTGTTTTTCACTCAAATTTATTTTTGTTCATATAAAAAAACACTTTTGTTTGGATGACTATGATGGATTGTTTTATAATGTGTCGTGTTGTGTTGTTGTATGAATATAACATTTGGATTATCGTTTTTCATCGTTACATAATATTTATGTTTAGAATATGAATGATAAATCTACAAGCAATTATAGAGCAGGATGGAGGTATTATGAAATGGTAGGATAAATGATAAAATAAAATTATTTAATAATAAATAAAGACGGTGGGGTAAAATAATAAAATTAAAATTATTAAATAATAAGTAAACGATAAAAGGAGAAGAAGATATTAAAATAATGATACGATTATATCGAATTGAATCATTAATTAAATGATATGGTATAATAAAACTTAAATAATAATTAAAAAAATATTATATTTGAATTAATAATATAATTTAACGGATAACAACTATCAAAACAAGATATAAGTCAGTCTTAATGTTTTTTCGTAGAATTTGGGAGTTAAAATCATTATCAAAGTTTCACATCAAAATGTTCATTACCAAAATTATAATTTTATATTGCACCTCCAAATAAGATCTCCATCTTGTGTTTTTTTTTTTGAAAGTCTCAAAAGAAAAAGTTCACCAACCATCTAGTTGTTAAATAATTTTGGCCTTTTGGGGTCCATTTAAGAGTATGGTCGTTCATACTTCCAATTTTTTTTTTGTTTTAGTTTTATCCGCTACATAATTTATAAAAATAAAAAGATTTTTATAGTTAGTTAGTTCTAAATTAAAAACATATACAATATATTAAAATGCTTTTATTTGAAAATTTGAAGAGTGTTAAATTTAAGAAAGAGACATCTTATTTGAAAATAAATTACGTAAAACGCAGTGATTACTATTTTGTTAAATGTAGAGGACAAAACTGTCGTAGTCACATCAAGACCTCCACTATATATATTTTATATTTTATTTGAGCAACTAGTGGCTACCAACTATTTGGGGATCCTACTTTTTTCCGTGTAAAATAACATGATTAAACTTTTGAAATTTTACTTACTTTAAGAAGTATTTTATAAAAAAAAATAGGTTGGAAATCTACACACAAAAAATAAAATTGTGTTTGATAAATTACTTTATTACAATAATTTATATTTTTTCAGCTTATTTATTTTAAATGTAACAAAATATCTTTTAATTTTATATGTTTTAAATATTTACAAATGAATAATTAATCATTTCGAGTTGCCATAGTTGAATTCGTGCAAAATCATCAAAACGTCACCACAAACGTAAGGATTCTCTTTGTTAATGCAAAAATATATTTAAATAACTATTATATATATAAGATAGAGGAAGATAATCCTCAAAGAGAGACTCATAAGTCATATGGAAAAGTTAAAGTATGAGCCTTTATTTGAGACAGAGAAGGGAAAAGGAAGGATATTATATAGGCTATTTGCAACTTCACTCTTTTGTGGGATTATTTTGATTTGGATTTATAGACTTTGTAATATACCAAATTCAGGTGAAAATGGTAGATATGTTTGGATTGGAATGCTTGGAGCTGAACTATGGTTTGGTTTTTACTGGTTCATCACTCAGTCTGTTCGTTGGAACAGAATTTATCGTCATACATTTCGAGATAGGCTCTTAATGAGGTATGTTATGACGATCTCATCTAAAAGTTTAATCTGTTAGATTGAGGTTTAGTGAATTCGTGATGATTCATATAGTTGCTTCCGACTTGTTACGCAGTTGTTGTTGTTAGTTGACCTGATTAGCACTTGTTTATTATGATGACATGAGTTGACTTTTAAATGATTCATGTAGTCGATCCCAACTTTGTTTGGGACTGAGGCGTAATTGTTGTATTTTTTATTGAGTTGAGCACTTGTTTGTAATGATGACATGAGTGAGTTTTAATGAATCAGTGATGATCTGATTCTTTTAGCCGATCTCGATTTGTTTGGGTTTGAGGCGTAGTTGTTGTTGTTTGTTGATTTTGAGTGCTTGTTTATGACGATGATGAGTTGAGCTTACATGAACCACGGGGACTCATATAGCCGATCCAAACTTGTTTGGGATTGAAGCGTAGTTGTTGTTGTTGTTTACTGATCAGCTGAGAACTCCTTTATGATGACGACATAGTTTGAGCTGTTATGAAGTAGTGAGTATTCATAGAGCCGATCCCAACTTATTTGTGCTTGAGGCATACTAGTTGTTAGATTCATATAGTCGACCCCAACTTGTGTTGGGACTAAGGTGTAGTTGTTGCTGTAGTTTATTGAGCAGAGTACTCGTTAATTCATTTAATTATATTTTCAACTCGCCCCTCGTATAAAGGCCTGATTGTTTTATATGTCATCAAACATGTGAAAAAAATGTTTTTTGATTAAGAGTGCACGTGGAATTTGAATTCAGAACCAAATTGTCTGCTCTTAATTAAACATGTTGAATTGTGTGATCTTCTCGTCTAAACATTTGAACTGTTAGATATAACAGAACACTCGTTATTCATTTAACTACATTATCAACTCGTCTTTCATGGATCAAGCATGCAAAAGAAAAAAATTAAATGGAAGTGGAGGTGGAATTTGAACTCAAAACATTGCCTGCTCTAGTGCCCATGTTGAATTGTGTGACGATCTCGTCTAAAAGCTTAAGTTCAAGGTGTTAGAGAGAACATAGCTTTGTTAACATTTATTATGTCTTGTTGAAAGAAAATAGGTATGAGAATGAGTTGCCGAGAGTTGATGTATTCGTGTGCACAGCTGATCCTGTAATAGAGCCACCAATTATGGTGATCAATACAGTTTTATCAGTCTTGGCTTACAATTATCCACCAGAAAAGCTCAGTGTTTATCTCTCGGATGATGCTGGTTCCGAGCTTACCTTTTATGCCTTGTTAGAAGCTTCTCGCTTTGCAAAGCATTGGCTTCCTTATTGCAAGAAGTTCAACGTTGAGCCGAGGTCTCCTGCTGCTTATTTTGCATCTCTGTCTGTTTCGGATCAATCTGATGCAGATTTTTCCAAAATGAAGGTACTCCATTTGTTTCCGTTTATATGACATGAACTTCTATATAGTTTGTTTCAGAAAGAAAGACGCGTTCATGCTCTTATAGTCATAGAACTATCATGGCATGTTTAAGACCTTAAAATTCTGAAGATGCTTTTGGTATGTGCCAAAAGTCCGTCTTTCTTTTTTAAACTCCGGTGTTCAATCAAATACTCTTATTTCAGGATTTGCCTGTTCTTTAAAGAATTTATTTTGTTTATCAAAACTTATTGATCCAAAACTGTTGAATGTCAAGCATAAATGCTGAGGTATATATACAGATATTGATAGCCAACGTCTTTTCTTAACACTGCAGGGATTGTACGAGGAGATGGCAAACAAAATTGATGTTGTATGCAAGGCTGGGACAGTCTCAGATCAAGCAAAATTAGAATACAAAGGATTTTCCAAATGGAATTCATATTCATCCAAGAAAAACCATACTGCTATCTTGCAGGTACAAAAAAGAAACAAAAACATTGGTTCAAGTTAGGCTATGTACTCGTTTCGTATGTTTAGAGAGATTCAACAATTTATTTATACACAATTTTTTTTTATAATTTTCCGATGAAGGGGATTCAATTGAATGTTTGAATCCTCTTTTCGTTAAAGGTAGCTCTGCTGCTGACTATCACATGTGGATAGAATAAATGCAACTTTACATATCTGATATCTTATATGTCTGCTTTCTTTCACATACTAGATACTAATCGACAACAGAGATGAAGAGACAAAGGACATTGACGGAGTAAGACTGCCAACGTTGGTCTATGTGGCTCGGGAGAAGCATCCTGAGCACTTCCATAATTTCAAAGACGGGGCGATGAATGCATTGGTAAGTCTAGTATCAGTTGCTCATCACATAAGTGAAATCTTGAATAAACCTGTGGATGATTTTGTTGATTACAATGTTCAGCTCAGGGTGTCCTCAGAGATCAGCAATGCGCCAGTAATTCTGAATGTAGATTGTGATATGTACTCGAACAACTCAAACGCGATTCAAGATGCTCTTTGCTTCTTTATGGATGAAGAAAGAAGTCGTGAAATTGCTTTTGTGCAATTTCCACAATCTTTCGGAAATGCCACTAAAAATGAAGTTTATGGTTCTCTGAGAGTAATTGATGAGGTTAGTACACTGTACATCTCTATTTGGTTTTATGGTGTTGATGAATATTCATTGCTGTAATTTTCGTATCGTTACTTTTATGTCAACCTAAGGTGGAATTCCACGGTGCTGATGGTTACGGAGGCCCTTTGTATACTGGAACTGGCTGCTTTCATAGGAGAGACACCCTTTACGGTAGAGAGTATAGCACGGAAGCTAGGATTGATTTGAAGAGTGCATGTCCTGAGAAGATGGAAGAAAACGTGCACGAGTTAGAAGAAAGACTAGAAAGATTAGCTAGTTCAACGTACGACTTAAACAACACTCAATGGGGAAATGAGGTATGTCCATCTGCATTTCAAATTTTAGATGAGATGGTCACACAGTTTAGTAACTGACTCGTAGTGAACTTTATTAACATGGCAGATTGGTTTGAAGTACGGGTGCCCAGTCGAAGATGTACTGACCGGGTTGACAATTAAGTGTAAAGGTTGGAAATCTGTTTATTATCGTCCAAAAAGGGATGCCTTTGTAGGGGTTACTGCAACAACGTTGGATCAAATATTAGTGCAACATAAGAGATGGTCCGAGGGCGATTTAATGATTCTGTTTTCTAAGTATAGCCCTGTTTGGTATGGACTTGGAAAGCTCAATCCTGGCCTTGTGTTGGGATATCTCATTTACTGCCTCTGGTCTCCGAATTGCTGGGCAACTCTGTACTACTCTATCGTCCCTTCGTTTTGTCTACTCAAAGGAATTCCCCTATTTCCACAGGTATTTTTTGCCTCTTTATCATCACATTTTCTTAACAAACATAAAGCAGAATCACCGGTTGACAAAAGAAATTTGACAAATTTTGCTTTTGGTCTTAACTTTCAGGTCTCCAGCAAACGGTTCTTGCCATTTGCATATGTGCTAATCGCGGAACTAATATATAGTTTTGCTGAGTTCCTGTGGAGCGGAGGAACAATTCTTGGATGGTGGAATGAACAAAGAATATGGCTTTACAAGAGAACAAGCTCCTACATGTTTGCCTTTCTTGATACAATGTTGAAGTTATTTGGTTCTTCCAATACAACATTCATAGTCACTCCAAAAGTCACTAGTGAAGATGTGTTATTGAGATACAAACAAGAGAAAATGGAATTTGGAAGTGCTTCACCTATGCTTACAATTTTGTCAACACTGGCAATGATCAATCTTTTTTGCCTAATGGGGTTGGTGAAAAAATTGATATTGACAAGAGAACTTGGATTGGAATATGTATTTGAAACTATGGCTTTGCAAATTTTGCTTTGTGGGATTCTTGTTTTTGTTAACTTGCCTTTGTATAATGCTCTCTTCTTTAGGCAAGATAAGGGGAAAATACCTAGTTCCACTGCATTTCAGTCAGTTGTTTTTGCCCTTTCTGTTTGCACATGTATTGCATATATGTAATTGTTGAAGCGTTTCACGTCGGATGAAATAGGGATATGTGGTTTTCTTATATGACCTTGGACATTCCTTTTCTTATGAGCTAACTTTCAGGGTTGAGTTAGACTCAAAATCCATTTTGACCCGGTTAACACTAGCTCCAATTTACTTTGAAAGCGTGCAACTAAGTTTCATATTTAAATGCTCATGATCAAAATTATGATTTCATATTACACGTTTAAATGGGGACTATGACTATCTGTTGGAGCGAATTGGATGATCGGCTGAGGGTTGCCCCCTTTTCCCCTTCACTCTCCTTTCAAAATCTCTTTTGATCCGGTCTGGCTCGTGGTTAGAATTACATAAATTTCAAATTTTAAATTCACTTGTAGATGAAACATATGAAATCCCTCCTACCTTTAAATAGAGATCACAAATTTAAGTCGTGGGAGTTGAAACATTTTTTAGTATATAATGGTTTCTCTTTACTCCCTCTGTAACGCAAATTTTCATTCAAAACAATGAAATTTTCCGCCTTGATAATGATTCGTCATCGCTTAGTCCATGGTCTCTTTTTTCTTCAAAAAACTTGAAGCCTTTATGCAAGTAAACTTTATACTAATAATTGAACTTTATTCAAAGAAACGTAGATGCTACAACTTTTGGGATATTTTTGTTGAAATGTATGAAAGAGATATAATGATCTTAAAATTTGAAATTGATGAAGTTGGGGATAAAGTTCTATCAGAATTCTTACCTCTACTATAATGGTAAAATCTGTGTATATTCTAACTTCTTCAGAGTCCATTTTGTGGAATTGCATTGAATATGCCGTTGGAAATTGATGAAATTAAATTAATAACCGGTGAAAATTCAGTACATAATAGGGTGTGTTTGGTATGAAGGAAAATGTTTTCACGAGCTCACTTGAATGTTTGGAAGGTTCAAATTCCAGTGGAGTTAGATCAAAAGAGTGTAGATATTTTTTCCCCTATTTGCTTAAGGTTGATGAGTAGAGTTACCAAATACTTGTGTTGGTTCATTGTCTAGGTTAATGTAAGGTGGCTTGGACAGTGACAATTAGATAACGGTCTAAAATATTCCGTCATATCTTCCAACTCCCCATGCATTTGTAAGAATAATATTATGTGAGTTATTGCTTCAGTTTTGAGCTACAGTCCTATCCCGTCCTATTGAAGAATGAGAGAATGATCAGATTAATTAGGTGTTATTTAGAGTGGTGAGAAAATAGATTCCTTAGCTAGATTATGTGATAACCAGGAATTAGATCATAGTTCGTCTTCATGAAGATCAAAATACTCTAGATATTTTTTCCCCTATTTTCTTAAGGTTGGTGAGTAGAGTTGCCAAATACCTGTGTTGATTTATTGTCTTGGTTAATGCAAGGTGGCTTGGACAGTGACAATTAGATAACACTCTGAAATATTCCGGCATATCTTCTAACTCTGCAGGCATTTAGATTTCTCATAAGTATGATATTACGTGAGTTATTGCTTGTGTTCTGAGCTACAATCCTATTCCGTCCTGTTGAAGAATGAGAAAATGATCGGATCAATTAGGTGTCTAGCAACTAGATATGTAGGAGGGGCATTGTAAACTTCAAGGTCGATCAGTACTATGCTAAAATAGTTGAACAATAATTCCCTTTATATACTTTGATAAACAATAACTATCCTTCTAAAATCTAGGAAATCTTGGTAGGTATAGGAGACTATGTAACTACAACACTTTTGAGGTAGTATACCTGTGGATAAATATAGACTAACTGTCACTTTTATAAAAATAAAATAAAAAAATCTAGGAAATAAAGTTTCAGAATTTCAAGTTGAACTGCTCCAATGGATCTAAAATTTAAATGACAAGTAAAACAAGTTTTTTCACAAACTACAGGACTAAAAATTAAATCTAATAGATTTTATAAGCAACAAGCAAGTGATGGCATCCCTTTTTAATTTTTCTCTCTTTCTCCTTTCGCCTTCCCCAAACTTTAGACTTTATCATACTTCGGATCTTTAGCTATTAGCATAATGATTACACTAATAGCCTTATTTTCATTAATCCCCCAATTTTCAGAATAGTTTGGTTGCAAACAAGTCAACCTCTAAACTTGAAGGTTATGCTTTCATTTAGTATGTACATACATGAAAGGTTCGTCTTACTTGATCTCTTATTTCTCTATCATTTGTTTCTAATTTGTGTTTTCAAACCCTCCCTTCAATGTAACTTCAGCCGACAAAAGACTGATAATATAAAGTGCTTCTTTATATTACACGTGAGAAAATTGTGCCAAGTTGGCATTCGTGAAGACTTAGAGTGGACTTGAAACAACATGAGTGGGGAATGAAGTAGTTAATCAGACGTTGAAATTCTAAGAGCCTTTGTAGTGTTAGTTGTGTGCACATTGCCAAAAGGACTCTGAACATACCTATACTACAATACATTATTAGTTGCATTGGTCCATAGAGTCGAAATTGCAATACATATGTAATTTCTTCTTTGCTTAAGTTGATTTTGTTGTTGATGTCATTGCACATAAAAAAATTATTTGAGATTATTGTGCATGTGTTATAAGATGCTTGTAGTGACTACTACTTTAGAACTTTGGTTTATCTTTTGGGGCATAAAAGATGTTGTGGTCTAGCTTATTATATTTATGTCTTTTATTTTATCTCATCTCAAAGAGCTTTATTTTCATAACCACTGTATGAACTCTATCTGTAGTTTGAAATTGTTATCGTTTTGAATTAAATACTATCATCACTCGTAAAATTTTCAAAAGTATTTTCATGTTCAGATGAACATTTGGTAGAACTATTATGTCAACATATCTAGAACATTCGTTGTTTATCCTGCTGAATTACTTCTTAATTATTTTTTTTGCGTTGGTTTTTAATTATTACGTATTTTACCCCTTTAATTTTTTGGATAGAGGTAAGAGTACGAGATGACTAAGATAAACAATGCACACTTCGTTCTGTTAAATTTATAGATTACTTTCTTGTTACATAACGCTGATTAAAAGATTCTATTAAGTTGTTTTTAGACAATGATAACTCATAAAAGTCGCCGGCCTCTAAACAACATTACAATGGTGACCTTAATTTTTATGAGTCTATCAGTAATGTTTGACAAATTAATTGTGAACACAAAATAGATTCTTTGCATAAATGCATATTGAGTAATTAATGGATTACTGTATGTTTTATATGTCTAATGGCAAAGTTTATTTAATCTCTCTTACACTACTTTTGTATTAACAATTTCCTTCTCAGTCTAATATATGCAGGTTAAACTATGGGCTCCTTTAATTTGTTTCAGTATTTAATGTAGTATTCTTGTTGAATTAAAAAAAGTAATTTGATGAAAATTAACTGGATCCATATTGAAATTGCCGCACATCATTCTTTGCATTTTAACTTATTGTACTATTCTTGATATGGTTCTATTTCTGTCATATTCAACTTTACACATCTGTAGATTTCCATGGTTCGTAAAGTTCCAAAGGTAAATAAATTTTTCTTACCTTCTTTTCAATTTTGAATATAGAAATCATATTATTTTACTATGTATAATTTGAAGTTGATTTTGCTAAAGAGACCATCTTCCACGATTTATGGATGGAGATCATTTCCTACTATTTATTCACTATCTCATACGCCTTATTTATTTCTTAGTCTTTGAGCTTATGTTTTTTATCATGATATTGGAGGATGCGATATACAAAAGCAGGAAATTTGTGAAGCCGTTGAGTTACCTCTGAGTCATCATGATTGTACAAGCAAATTGCTATAGATCCTTCCTGTGTCGTGTTGCTCTATGGTCCACAAGGCACTGGAAAAACCATGCTTGCAAAGGCTGTAATACATCATACCACCACGACCTTCATAAGGGTAGTCGGTGGTTGTATAAGGACAGTAAAATAAGCAAGCACTTGTGGAGTCATGATGGTACATTATCGATTTATGATGATACAACATCAAAACATGTTTGAAATAGGCAAAGTTAAAAAAAAAAATTAATTTAATCTATAACTTGGCTGGCGGTAAGTTTTTGAACCTATGGCAAATAGTCTTTTATTCATTAGTTCACTTATTTGAATCCAAAATATGGTCAAATGATGACTTGTAGGTAAAGAAAGCTTTCTGAAAGTAACTTAATCTTACTTTCAAATCAATTGTCTAATGGTAACAAGTAGTTTATAAATGTCCTGCAGGCTGCAGTATTCAATTATGACAGTATTTTGTATTATTTTTGTATTCTAGCAAAGTACCTGACCCCTTCTCTCCCAAAGTTGATCCTTCCTTCCCTGAGTTTATATAAGTGCTTTTTATTTTTATAAAAATGTACATTCTAAATTTCTTGACATTATTGCATTCAAGGGCGAATTTAAGTTTAAAAAATGGGTCACCGAAACCCGTGGTCATCCGACAAATTCGATATATCTACTTGTATAATTCATAAAATATAACAAATTGCAACTGAAGGAACCCATGGTCACAAATGGCTAGATGGCTCACTGGTTTGGGTGGTTGTTTTCCACTGGGAGGTTGATGGATCGATTCTCCATTGCAACATTTATTTTTAAAATTTTTTAAAAGCACTGCAGTCGGCCTTTTTAAAATAAAAAATGCAGCATGGCTTTTTTACTTCTTATTTTTACAAAAAAATAATCTAAAAGTAGGTTCCATTGCAAGCATTTTATTTCAAAAAAAACACGAACTTCCCAGCTGAAAAACCTATTTTTTTTTCCTTCTTTCAATTGAAATCACCATTCTTAGTAAGCAAACTAGCAAAATCAATTATAATATTTTAGATCTTATCTTACGTGCAATGATCAGCGACGGCCCAAACACACAAGTTGTCTGAGAAAAAAATCAAACTGAGGCCTTAAACTTTTGAGAAAAATTAATATTCTTTTTATAAAGTCTACTTTTAAAATTTCTTGAGATGCAAAATTGTATATTTTTTAATAATCAGATTATTTTAATAATTATTTTTCAATCAATAATTCATATAACCAATGCATTTAATCTTTCTTGCGACATAGTACTCTAGGTATATCAAATTTCTCCTAATAA